AGGAGGAAGTTGAGCAAGTCCCTGCAGAAACCCTCTACCAAGGCTTACTCCCCAGCCTGCCTCAGTACATGGTGAGTAGTACCTGTGGTGGGTCTGCCCACTACATCGGCCTGGTGAACAGGCTCTGCTAGTCTCCCTCGCCCTCCTCCTGCCACCCGAGAACCCACAGAAGGCTTACCTCTTGGGGCGCTCAGCACCGCCCTGGGCTCTCTCAGGCCTGTTTCTGAACGTCTGCTCTTCCCAGATTGCCCTCCTAAAGATCCTGCTGGCTGCAGCTCCCACCTCAAAAGCCAAAACAGACTCAATCAACATCCTAGCAGACGTCCTGCCCGAGGAGATGCCGTGAGTGTCCTCCTGTGAAAGGAGCAGGTTGGGGCAGAGGGTGGAGTGGGAGGGGCAAGCGTTTTCTTTTTGTTAGGTTGATTTCTTTTGTTGGCCTCACTTCTCTGCAGGTTAAATTTGGGGTGTTTTTGACTCAGAAAAAGGAAACTACTGGATTAATTAGTCTCCTGGCTGGGAGATGATTTGGTTCAGTTGGTCTGAATTCTAGTGGAGACTGCCATTGAGTGAACTCCTGGGTGAATGGGGCAAAGTCATTTCCTCCTCTAAAACAAGTGGTACCACATCAGAACATTTCCCAGTATCCTCCCCATAAAGCTGTGTGGTTGGGACACCCAGGAAGTAGAGTGTTACCTTCTGGACAGTTGACCAGTGACAGCTGAGCCTGAGCCAGATGTGCTGTCTTTTCTGTTTGCCAGTGAGCTGGCAGGCTGACTACTGGTGAGCATCTTGGGGTGACAGAGTGAAGTCCTAGGGCCTCTTCCTCCCTGGGCCCTGACCTCATCTCTTTGATGTGAGAATACAAATGAAGATTGTGTTCTACTTTGAGAAGGACTCTGATCTGCCTGCCTGCCAGTGCCACCCAGCCTTTGGCCCAGCTCATGGGTGGCTGTGGCCCTGGAGTGTGGCAGTGACAGCCAGGTGAGGGAAGAGACAGGGAGTGGCTAATCCCAAAGTGGGGAGGTCACAGAACAGTAGGCCATCATGATGGTCCTTGGAAAAAAGGTGCTAGGGTCACATATTAGATTTCCTCTTATTAGGATTTACAATGAGAAGTCCTGAATGAAGAAACGGATGTAACTTAGTGTTTCCTAAATTTGTCTGACTCCAAAATCCTTTCTCCCATAACTTGAAACATCCACAGAATACACGTTGGGGAACTCGAGTTATATGGTGGCAGAAGCTTGAGGGGGGTCTTGGAAAGGAAAAGTTTATTTTTGAAGGAAAAGACTAAAAATGTATTTGGGGTATCATGGGGAAGAAATAAATCGTGCCAGGCTGGATTGCTTGGGGGTGGGTGGGGAGAGCCCTGGCCTGACCTCAGATGGCCACGGGGTAGGTGGTAAGGTGGGAGCCTGCACCTGCAGAGGCTCAAGGTCCTGCGCTGCTGGAGCGCGTGCCTGCAGTCACCCCAACAATTATGTTTCCAGCACCACAGTGTTGCAGAGCATGAAGCTGGGCGTGGATGTGAACCGTCACAAAGAGGTCATTGTTAAGGCAATTTCTGCTGTCCTGCTGCTGCTGCTCAAGCACTTTAAGTTGAACCATGTCTACCAGGTACCTGCAGGGCTTCCCTATCTTCTGGGCAGGGGCTTTGGGCAGCTGCGCCTCCAATCTGTGGGAGCGGGGCCTTGGCCTCTGACCCTGCCTAAGCTGTGCTTGAGCGTTCCAAGATACAGTCCCCCACAAAGCCTTTCACCATCGGAGAGAGGAGGGCAGCCCCCACGGGCCTTACTCTCTTCTGTTGTTGCAGTTTGAATACATGGCCCAGCACCTGGTGTTTGCCAACTGCATCCCTTTGATACTGAAGTTCTTCAACCAGAACATCATGTCCTACATCACCGCCAAGAACAGGTACGGAGGACTGGGGACCCGGGTGGGGCGGGCATGGCTCCCGCTGAGTCCCTCTAGCGCACATTTTCTCAGCACCTATGAGCCAGTACTGTGCCAGGCGTCAGGACACAAAGATGAACGAGGCATGGTCCCTACCTGTGGAGAGCCAACTATGCCACATCTGCGTCTGGCTCATCTAGCGCCAGGTGCCGTGGTCTGTGTCTGGGCAGGAGGGTTCTCACCCTGGCTCCGTACTGCCCTCGCTGTCCCTTCTGTGCTGTTTCTGTTTTTTTTGTGTTTTTTTTGAATTGGAGTCTCCTCTGTCACCCAGACTGGAGTGCAGTGGCTGCTCCCGGCCACTGCAGCCTCGACCTGCTGGGCTCTAGTGATCCTTCTGCCTCAGCCTTCCAAGTAGCTGGAACTACAGGCGCACGCTACCACGCCCGGCTAATTTTTGATTTATTATAGAGATGAGGTCTCGCCAAGTTGCCCGGTGGGTCTCGAACCCGCGGGCTCAGGCAATCCATTCACCTCGGCCTCCCAAGGTGCGGGATTACAGGCTGAGCCACCGAGCCTGGCTGTGTGCTGTTTTTTAAGTGACCATGGGCTGCCTGCTCTGCCTAAGGAGCCTGGCGTAGGCACTATAAATGCCCCACCTGCTGACTCTTGTTCCCACCCCACCTGGTGCCCGTGGGACTTGATAGTGCTACTCATCAGCATGCTGTACCACGGGGCAAGCTGCTGCCCAGGCCTTGTGTCCAGAA